CAAAGTGAACTTTGGGTAAATTGGCAGGCTTACTTCCTGTTCCATTCTGGAATATTTCGGCACGAATCTCTGGCAGGGCCGAGTACTTCTCGCTGGTTGGGTTGCCACCTCGGTAGTCCTATCCTGGGTGTGAACTTGATGAACAGACTGCTCTCGAGTTTCTTTCTACTTACGGATACCTGGAAGGGCCCGCCCGTCCAAAGGGAGTCTAAACTGAGTATCGCTTTCTCTGACCCTGGGGGTCCATGTGGTAAAGCTGGTTTCTCAATCAGTTCTGGGTTCAGCCTCTTTGATTTGCAGATGAAATCGAACCTCCTAGTCTTCCATTTCCGACTGGATAGGCGGTCTTCAGAAGATAATCGGGACTGGCTCTGTAAGCATGTGTCGCGGGCTTTGAAGACCACAGAGACCTTCCAGACGCAATTCCGATGCCAGAGAAGGCTACCAGAAGCTGGAGCGCCATCGTAGCCATGCCTGCGTTCTACCTGTGGTAGGCTGTCGTCCGCACTCGAACGTGTCACTCCTTGATATCTTTCTGCTCAAGTTCGAGGCACCATTGAGACAGCGAAGTCTCTTGCTTAATAGAGGTCTCCGATTGACTCTCAAATAACTTTCGGCGGCCCTCGACCCGTTATACCGCACCTCACCGACAAGGGTTAAGGTGAGGCAGGAAAACGATTCTTGCCCCTCTTGTGCATATATTGAATCCTCCCATATTATAGAAATCTGGATAATTCCAGGAACGACCCGGCACCTGCTCAATTGAGATGGCTGAACCCCAGATTCTCCGCATCACCCGATGGTCGATTGGCGGGATTTTGGATGTGAAATGGCCCGTCGGTTTTGTTTCCCGGCACATTCAAGAACCGGCTGAAAGATATTCAGGAAAGGTCTAAGCCAAAAATGCGGCGCATTTCCCATGCAGTTGGTGAACACCCGAGATGCCTGAATGCTGTATTGAAAAATACCCGTGCCAATCATTTGATATAATGCGGGCCCGATTGAGCTTGGCATGGTGAAATGGCATCTCGACGACGTTGGGTTTTCTTAATATCTTATACCATTTTATTTGTTCATGCTGGATGAAATTTACATTAATATGGCAAATAGCCAAATGCATTCAGTGGTTGTGGTTGAGGGGATAGCTCTCTAAGGAGAAGAACTGCAGTGTGCCGGATCGTCTTTTGCTTCAGAAAGAGCTATATCGGCTTCAGTATGCGATTCAAGTTTGACCAGTCTGTTGTTAGACATTGGCCTTGTAATTTGTTAGACATTGGCCTTGTAATTTGTTAGACACAAAGATCGCAGGAAGCTCAAATAACAACCAGAAACCAGACCCTACTGAAACTCCTTGAATCACTTAGACTTAGGCATCTTACTCACCGCCGACCGTGTCCTAGGATCCCACTCTAGCATCTGCTAGGCAAATTCTACAAAGGTGTCATCTTACTCTTGGTCATCTAAGATGCTCCCCCAAAGTCATGAGGGTAGAAGCAACCGCATGCTTATCTTCTCGAGAAACTCGCCTAAGCAGCCATCAACGACCTATATTCACGGTAAAATCGCTTATGATCTCATCCTAGCGCCGTTGCTAAACTCATCAGCCTTAGTAGTCTAAAGTCCGAGAGAATCTAAATATTCCGCGTTATACCTTGCAGGTAGTGTCGTATATTGACTGTGTTAATATCTCCTCTGTCGCGCAGTTCATTGAGGTTGTTCCCCAATGGCCCTTTTTATATTCTGGAAGATCCAACTTTCACCATCACGTTGATCAAACTCTTCAGCAAGTAAAGGGTTATAGGTGGCATCTCGAAAGATCGCCAGCCAGCTTGGTCGTGCATGTTTGTTGGTCATGTAGAAACTTAAACTAGGCCATGTCTCATTTTCTGAGTAGGTACAGCTCCTGAATTTCTGGGAGGCCACATCCGTTTCATAGATTCCTTCCTAATTGCAAAGTCTGCTCCTGTATGGCTGAGTGGTGGAGGAAACATGCACCCTTTCACATACCTAGCTTACCAACGTCGCTCTTCCAATAGGGCAAGACACTCATAGTAGCGAGTCAGAGAAAAGAGCAGTTTCAAGCGCTAAACGACTCTCTCCTCTTGCTACAAGGTGCACATGGATGCCATCTGTATCCGGTCATTCGTCTAGGCGAAACCCGTAGTTCAGACGACGTTGAACTCCCAAAGAAGCCAAGAGGTTAATTATTAAAGACCCATGGTGTAGACTTACGCTATTTGAGAAAAAGTCCAATGATGGTCCTTGCAGGTTCCCCATCGCCCGGGTTTCGGTTCGCTTTGTTACCCCGTCGCGCGCGTATCGCTCAGTCTTGAGAGGCAAAGGATTCAAAACGCCAAGACTTAGCTCCCGCGAACCTTGTAATGAAGCATGAAACATACGCGCCTTGGCCAGACCTTGCAGAACAAATTTAAGCAGTAACATGGCCTAAAAACCTCCGGCCTATTGGATTTCATCTGCGCAAGGCATCCGGATCACCCGCGCGGGTCCCACCATGCTTAAGATGAAACCTCCCCAGTGCCGTGCCTCCTCCTTTCTGGTAGTTGAGAAATCTAGCTTCCCGGATGGTGCTAGTTCAATGAGCCTAATTTGTACTTTAGTTGGTCTTCTCTCGTCGGTTCTTTAGAAAGAATGAGTTGACTGAGGTAACAAACAAGGACTTAGACCATTGAGAGCATGCTGATGAGCCTTGTCCCATTTCTCAACTCTTTGTACTTTGTCCGCACTCTGAGCGAAAAGTATTACAGGACTCGAGAACCAAATCGCTTGTCGGACACATCCGCTCTCTATTTATAGACTCATCCAAACTAGGCAGAAAATCTGTTCCTGGACTAAAGGCATTTGGAGTCTCAGATTTGGCCCCAAAGTGTGGCCACATGCAGCTAGAAGGAGGTCAGGGGCTTATTGAAAGTAAAGTAGAGTAGTCTAGAAATTCTCATCCCTGTTGGCATACATCCATGACCCATGATCCCCTCATCGGCAGAGTATCACGGTAGTGGCATGGCGACAAGGGTTTCCAGCTTCCTAATCATGCCTAAACTGTACTCACCTAAATTGATATAAAACCTCGCGGGCTCTCCAGACCATAGATCCAAGCATCCGGTTCAACCAAGCTCGGTCTTTTGATTCATTCTTCCATTCGTTCTTTTCTGAAAATTCAGTTTACACTCACTCTTTTCCAACAACATTCATCATGCATCGTTCTCTTCTACTCTCTTCGCTCCTTGCCATGGAGGCTGCTGCACATGGCTTCGTCAAAACCTTCACTCTCGATGGAGTCGAATATGAAGGCTTCTGGCGTTGGAACAACAACCCCGACCCAAAGGCCATTGGCTGGAGCTTCACAACCCCCGACGAGGGTCCCATTCTTGACATATCCAACCCTGACCTGAGCTGCCGACAGGATTCGGCACCGGCCAAGAACTATGGCCAAATCGCTGCTGGCGGCAAGGCCGACTTCTTCTGGACCTCTGAGGACAAGGTCATCAACCCCAACGGCTGGGCCGAGAGCCACCGCGGCCCCATCATGACTTACATTGCCCCTTGCAACGGCGACTGCACCACCGTCGACAAGGCCTCCCTCAAGTGGACCAAGATCTACGAGGAGGGCCTCATCTCCGGAACCGCCAACACCAACGGAGTCTGGGCCAGCGACAAGATGCGTGAGAACGGCGGCATCAACTCGGCCACCATCCCCAGCAGCATCGCGCCCGGAAAGTACGTCATCCGCAACGAGATCATCGCCCTCCACCGCGCCCACATCAACGAGCCCGAGTTCTACGCCCAGTGCGCCAACATCGAGGTTACCGGCAGCGGCACTGACGACCTCTCCGGGAAGGGCGTCATCGCCACCCAGCTGTACAAGACCACCGACAACGTCTTTGGTTTCGATGTCTACAACGTGGGGAAGGAGACCACCTGGCCCATTCCTGGTCCTCCTGTGTACTCTGCTGCTGATTCCGGAAACACTGACAATGTTGGTAACGCTCCCAGCTCTACCAGCATTGCCAGCTCTTCCAGTGCTCCCACTTCTACCAGTGTTCCCAACACTACCATCTCTACAAGCATTGCTAGCTCTACCAGTGCTTCAAGGTCTACCAGCGTTGCCAGCGCTCCCAACACGGTTGTCGCTACAAGCACTGCCAGCTCTCCCAGCGCTACTAGCACTAGCAGCCCTGATAACTCTGGTGACAACGATGAGAACAATGACAACGGCAGTGGATGCAGGGGTGGTAGGGGCCGCAAGGGTGTCAGGTCCTTCAGAGCTTAAGGATGGATGTATCGGTAAACACTATATAGATGCAGTCACCTCGCACATGCTTATCAACCATCGTGTTCGAGCAATTTGATTGTCGTTAATCTAAACCTAAAACTACCTACCATGCGAATCAAAGCATGGAATTCCCAGCTATAAGTGTTAACAGCGTAAAGGTGCCTCTAAGGGTTTGAAGTAGTCATCGTAGCCACTTGTGATACCGCCGCGCCTAAACACGTACATGCAAAAATAAACCACCACTACCAGCCAGGCCAAATCGACTTAACTTATTTTAGCATTTAAGGCTAGGACACTGCGTAGGAAAGGAAATCTCATAACCTTCGTCACTCTCATATTCAATAACATCATTCCTTTTTGTGACAAAAGTTTGCATTTGGTTTGAGAACAAAGTCAGATTTCCCTATTGTGGCTTCTTTTCTCTCTTCTATCTATTGTCCTTTGTTGGAAACTTGGATAGACTAAGCGTTACCTACTATGAACTTCTCAATCGAGTAGACAGCTTTTCGCCAACAAATTACTTTCGTTTCTTTTGGGGGGAATTAGATGTATAAGTCTTATATAATAGCCACTTGAACAGGTCAAAGTTCGAAAAAAGTCTCGACATGACATTCTACGTTGCTGATTCTTGTTCTCTCTGATTCCCTCCACCTCGGGAGCCTTCTCTGGCTCTTTGTAACTATTCTGTTGGGCTCGGCGCGAATTTTCTATGGGCGTCTCAATTAACAAGTTTCACTCGCGGTGCGATACGACAAACTCCAATAAGTCAGCAGTCACAGCTCTCCCAAGAGTAGCCAACAGCATCCGAGAGATTGCCAAAAGAGCAATTCTACGAAAACTTAACAGGGAGCTCTCTGTGATACGCATAGAATACATAAGAATTCTTTTGGGTCAGCCTCAAGACATTCACACTGGCCTTGAAGGGGAAGCGAAGAACTCTTTCAAGCTGACCCTGACAGGAGGCGATGAGCACGTCCCCAACGGTTCCTCGTTTGGGATATTACAGGATCCATTGAAAAAATCCATCGATTTCCAGGAGACTGATAACGCAGGCATGATGAAGAATGACTTGTGGAGTAGCAAACGAGGCATCCGCCGTCATTTGCCAGATTGCGCAAGGGGGTGGAAATTTGCGATACTGTCCGAGGCCACAGTTACATTCCCTTCAGATGATTCTCCAATCAGGCACCGCACCTTGGGAATAATTAGCGAGGACAATCCTTTGCAGGTCATAATAATTCCCAAGGAGGTTCCCAGAATAGAGATCACGCCGCCGCCTAGAGTAGAGTCATCGCCAGCGCAGTCATGGGTTGAAACTGAAGAGTTTGGCGAGGCAGAAGATCTCACCATGTATGATATGTATCCCGACTTTTTTGTGCTCGATGGGATCGAGGAATACGAAACGCCCGATTATGATGCACGAAACTCTCTGCAGTATGTCTTGGGAGATTGGATGGGCGATGGGGAAATCTCAGATAGCAGCGAGGACGAGGAAGGGTTTTAAAATACAGCCAGTGTGGCTCATCAGTCAAGAATTTTTGTCCAGGTAGCAAAGAGGCATCAAGCTCAATTGTTTGGGCAGATGTATAGATGCGCGATCGCAGCGTAAGTGGCCAAGCGACTGACCGTAGACCAAAGCTCCTTACAGCGAAGTCAGGGACCTCGTTTTCTTATTCATTATAAAAAGTTCAATGATAGAAAACTATAAACTATTCTATATTGTTTAGGTTGATGATATATTTATTACTACAACTTATATTGATTATAATATTATATCAAGACTCAACGCTCGAGGCTCTAGGTGTGCCATGTTTTATGCCAGTCGCTTGATGGCCCATCAAGATACAGCTCTTGCAGCAAGTTGTGTTGCATCCGACTCTGCGAAATGCAAGTCTGCCTAAAGTTGCACATTTATGCCCACGCAGGTCAGCCTCAGATCCCATGAATAAAAAGCTGTATTTTCCCCATTATTTCTTCATCATTTGGTATCGAAAATACCCAACCTATCAACCAAACTTCATTCCCATCCATAACTCCTACTCATATCAACATGTCGACTTCATTGGGGCGACTCCAAGCTGCCCTTGCTGCAGCGACAAATGAGGTTACTGTCGCTGCCGCCAACATTAACTTTGACTTCACACTCGTGAAGTACGAGGCACCCAAGGAGTTCAAACCTCTGGGGGAACTTTTGACATATAAACGGAAAGACGAAGCGGAGCACGGCAAGTCCCACATCACCGCAAGACGACTCGGGGCCTTGTTTGATGGTGTATGCCCGAATACTCCGAACCTCTTAAAGGCGTATGGAACACGAGTTGCAGAAGTCTCGAAGAAAGCGACCGATAACGAGCCCAAAGAGTATCGAGATTCAATATTTTCGGCGTATGCAGGTGTGGACGGGACTTCTATTTGGGCAGCAGCTACCTCATCGAAGACCGCAATCCATGTTCACATGCTGGCTTGTATGCTAGCAGAATTTTGGGACCCTCCCGAGGCCATCTCAATCTGGGATGAGCTTGTCGCAGAAAGAAGGAGAGATATCGCAGCGCGATTAGAACAAGGGGAGCCCATGCACTTCGGCCTAGCAGCTGCTGCAGCCCAACAGGATATCTCGCGTCAAGACCTGGCTAGCTGGGATGCAAGCGCCCGGGCGTGGATTCAGACAGCTAAGGCAGTGGTGCGGGTCAAGTACACGCAACTGAACCTTATCTTGAAGAACGTCGACACTCTTGTCCATGATAAGACAAATGTATTCAATGGGGTGACTGAGGCGTGGAGGCTCTCGCTAGAAACCATGGAGAAGCTTGTATCTGGAGAACCACAAGAAGTCCGTATCGGAGCAGCAATACTGGGAGTATCAGCCTGGCACATATATCCAGATATGCACATATTTGGGGCAAAGAATATGGTGGTTCGAATGGACGACCCTTTGGTACAACACGGCGGAATCTTATCACTCGGTTGCTCCCCATCAAATTCACGCCCTGGAGTGCATTGGTCTCTCTGTCTTAACCACTTCAAGTTCTACGGCCACTCGGTACGAAGGGAGCAAAGCTTGCAGGAAAATCCTAACCTAGTACCATTTCAGAATTTTCATCATGCGGTTATTGGGGCAATATTAAGCAAGTGGAACACATCGACTGAAGAGATATCTACGGGCCTTCAAGTTTTTATCGGCCTCTGTTCCCTCATATCCGCGAGACTAAATTTCTATTCAGTTCCGATCAATTCAGCTAAAATAGCCGCGCACGAGTGCCTGGTTGATCCTGCTACTCAGGCATTTTTCAACTATGGACGACGGAAATCTCAGTTTCTCTATAATCAGCGATTGGGGAAAACTGAATCTCTTGAGCCCTACTTTGGTTTGACAAGAATTCGAACCTTGTTGGCATGTATTCCGGATTCTAATGACCAAGTTGAGCTTCTCAGGCGCCTGGCAGCCGGACTTAAATTTAATGATATGGACGTCGTGATCTACGATATTACAAACGCGTCGGTATACACAATAACATCCCACACAGGTCTATCCAGCGAAAGTTCTTTCAAAGAGGGATCGGCAAGAAAGCGAGCCAAATGCCAAATCACCAAAAGCTGCGAATTTTGGGAGTGGAACGGGTCCCGGTTACACCGTACAATCAATGGGAATAGAAGAGAATTTGACTTTTGGTTCGGGGATAAAAGAACCGCCGCTATTTTCCAACATCACCGACCGTTACAACCCTCTTCAGTGCCACCGAGCATCACCCTAGGAGATCTGCATTGGTGTCTTGAGCATAATATGTTATCGACACACAATCTGGTGCGCATTCTACACGATCATGATTCCGTCCTCAGTGTGATTGTTCATATTCATTTTGCTGTTCAATGCTTCCATAAATTACGATCAGTCAAGGTTGACATACGGAGCCTAGACAGGCCATTATTACAACAACACTGGACGATTAACTCAACTAAAAGGGCAGAATACGATTCCTGCAACACGTCTTATCATTATGACGCCCCTCGCGTCGATGGATCTATGGAACGTTGGATCCAACTAATTGCAAACTTGGTGGCTGGTATTGATATGCCGACGGACGCGGTTCCTCCCAGGATTACCGGTATCTCGACTGGAGATTCTCTCATTGTTCCTTCAAGGGTGAGACAACTCAAAATGATCCATATTTCACAGTTCCATCACATCACATTGAGTTACGATTAATATGTTTGTAGCTTCTAAAAGACCCTAGCGATATGAAGGAGACAGCCCCATTTACTAGAATCCTAGGAAATGTAGGCCGACCGGGATTTATATTGTTGTCTTCCCCAGAGGAGCCAATTCTCGCTCCACATGATACCGTGAACTGGAGAATGTGCAATTTGAATTCATTCAATGGGAAGAGCGAGGACATGCTGAACTCCACATCACTGCACTTGTCCTTCACAGATTGGTCCCGCCCCCTGGGTCCAACAACGACTATAAGTGGGAAGGATGTGGACGGTCTGGTCATGGAGTCAGTTGTCAGCATCCGGGAGCACGGTAGGTGGGTTGGAGACATCGATCCCGCAAACGCTCTACAAAACCCGATTGTGATCTTGATGGGGCCTCAAGAGCCTTGCTCCCATCCGCCTGATGAGCCTCCCGCTGTTCCCATGACTGCAGTTGAGTGCTGGGATGAGCTGAGGGACTGTCCTGAAAAGTTAGTTGTGGTGAAAGCACACGGGAACTGGGTTGCTCGGCTTGCGGCGACTGCTTATCTTGTTGAGTGCTCAAAGCAAACACCAACGAAGGTCAAGCGGATTACAATTTGCCCGCAGAAGGTCTGTTGGGCTTGTTTGAAGCCCGAATTTGAGTCCAATATATACATCTATTGAATGGTCGTATATCAGATTACACGTTTAAGCTAGCAAGTAGGTGACAGGAGAAATAATACACCCAATAGAAGAGTGGTTCTGCTTTCTAAAACAAATCAAGAAATTCAGTATTCTAAACGGAAATAAAGTGACAATATATGCTGTATTATCTCTGAAGGATATACTATTAGTACTCAATAATTTAATAATTCCGGACACAGACTCGAGAATGAGGAGCTTAATGTTTGAATATCTCAGGTTCAATTTCACTCACTTGGCTAGATCGCACCTACGAAACAATTCAATATTTGATGGTGGCTAGCTGAGCTTGGTTCTAGAATATGTTTGAGAAGCGTCCAAGCACAAGCTGACGCCAAGTAGAACTGCGTTGAAAATCGCCATCATGTAGAAAGGCGCACCAGTCGAGAGCTTGTCAAACAAATACCCGCCGAGTTTGGTGAGCAAGAGAATAGCAGCACCGCCAAATAGAGAGTACACCCCTGAGATGGAACCTTTTAGCTTCATTCGCGTTACAGGTTCATCCTCCGTGAAGTTGTTCATCAGGGGATCCGCTTCGGCCGAGTCGTCCTCGTCCTCGTTTCCATCTTCGCTAATACCGGGAGCAACGAGCGGCTCCCGTCGCTCGGCCCTGGGCGCGTCTACCTGGTTAATGCCCTGTCCCAGGATCCCCAGGCTGCATACGATGGCACCAATCTGGCTCACGCCAATGAGGGCAACCACAAGGAAGATAAACGGACTGCCACCTCGACCATCCACGTTCTTGATCTCCGGGCTAGGCAGATGTGGGAAGATAATGTACCCAACCATGCCAAACACAGTGGCGACAACGATGGGCCAGTTGACCCTACCAGTCCGGCGAGACAGGTACCCAAACGCCGGTGCGCAAAGGAGGGCGACGAGCTGCGAAACGCCGGTCAGGATTGATGACAAAACATAGGCTGACTTGCACTCCTCCTTCAACTCTTGCGAGGGGTCATTTGGCGAACCGTGGCAGAATCCCCTGTCGATGAAGAAAGTGTTAACAAACACAGGGATGAAGAGCGAGATGGCGACAGATGACGCCCGAGCCACAAATCCGCCAACATAGCCAAGACAGATCTTGCGGTCGGTGAACCCAAGGAGGAAGGACTCCTTGAGTAATCGCAGATATGGGACAATCTCCTGTTTGCGCGACATTAGACGATACGGTCATTCTTGTTCAATGGGATACCATCGTACCTTTCTTTTCCTCGACAAGTCTACATCCTCCTCGTCAAGGGCATCGAACTGCGCAAACCTTGGCCTCCGGCCCAGGAGCATCCTCCATCCCTTCCCCTCTTCACCCTTCAAACCCCGCAGCCCTAGGAATACAAAGACTGAGACGAACAATGCCACAACGGCCACAACGTAGAAGCTATATGTCACAGCTTCACCCGGTGTGACCTTGTCAATTGCGCCAAATCTGGTCGGCAATGGGAGGAACAAGGACAGTGCCACCAGAGCTCCGCATCCGGTGAAGAGACCAACGAACCCAGCCAGCGCCGGCGCTTTGGATGCCTTGCTATCCTCGTCTTCATCTTCGTCCCTCGGGGCACTCTCGTATCGCTCCGGCGTGATTGTCAGCTCCGACTCGACGGAGAAGGCGGTGCTGTGCCGGGAGACGTGCGTCGGCTTGCGCCTCGTCGCGAACCCATTCCGGTCGTCGGCTTCATCGGTCAGCACGGGTAGGATGGCCGTCACCATGGTCGCCCTACGTATTGTTAGCTTTCTGTTCTGCGCGCACCCAGCCGCTACCACACGGCTCGCGCCACATCTAGGAACTTACGAGGCCGACGCGCCCACGGCGAAGAAGATGCGAGCGAGGAGGAGCTGGGGGTACACGTTCCTCGCCTGGACGAAGATGGCCAGCGCGAGGCCGATCAGCGTGTACCCGATCGTGGCGACCCATCGCACACCCAGGCGATCCGAGACCAGGCCCCAGGCAGGGCAGGCGACGAGCGCAACGAGCTCGTCAGCGAAGCCGAGCGTGCCGACGACGTTGCCGACGCCATGCTTCTGGCCAATGAGGTCGGTGACAACGAAGGAGACGGAGCTGTTGAGGAATACGAGGAAGGAGATGGAGAAGAGCGAGACGCCGAGGAGGTAGGTGAGCGCCTGCAGGGATGTGATGGAGGAGGAGAACGGTAGGAATCGCGATATGGGCTGCATTGTGGTTGATTGTTGGTCCGGTATCTGTTCGAGAGTTGATAGGAGAGTCAAATGAGGTTACATCGTATCCCCGATGTGCCGCAGATTGAAGAAGAAGAGGAGTGTGGGAGCGGGACGGTTTTCTGGCGTGTTGTTTTACTCCTCGGTTCCTGGCCGCGGACCGCCGAACAGCTTCCGGAAGCTCCAGAACGGACGATCTGATAACTGATTGTCTCGCCACTGGCCGTAATGCATTAGGTAATCAGAGCAACAGGGTGACATTAAAACTGATACACTCAAGCATCATCCTGCTAATTATCGAAGCTGTGGCCGCTATATGATATTATTGAGCACCAAGGACAAATTCATAAACCAATAATCTGAGAATTGTCAATTAGGTTCGTTTTATATTGCTGTATCAATCTAATTTATAGGGTTTTCGCATGGCAGCTCTTCAATGGATATCTTATTCCTTCTGTCACCCAGAATGCTCTACGTAATAATTAGCTCAGACAATGAACTTAGAGTGTCATCAACGAGTTTACTCTTATCAAATCGCCAGCAGGACAAAACATTGATTTAGAGGATAAAATTCCTGTTTTTTTTTTTTTTTTTTTAGAAAAGTCCAGGTGTTCAATCCGCTACGGTTATGGCTCTCACCTACTACATAATGTTGACGGGCAAATATCCTCGCAACATAGAGTCGGGCAGGGTAGTTCCCCGCCTCTGAGGCTAGTATGTGGTCTGAGTAGTTAAGACAACTCGGGAAGTCATGGGTATATGGATGGCAGCTGATCCGATAGTTTAGTGAATGAGGAGCCTTCCATCCTAGCCTTAGTCTCGTCAGCGATGACTGGGGCCTTCTACTATTACGAACAAATCCCAAAACTCAGCCTCAACCGCATAAGGATGTGCCATTGTACTGGCAGTTATGCACGCACAGTCGACTGACCGAGTTGGTTGAGATTTGGGAGAAGCTGAGTCCGAACGAGGTCATCCGTATTTCAGAAATGCTGCCTCTTATATGTGCCATGGATTTCCTTCCCAGTCATGATATCCATATATCAACATGGAGGATGCTACGTTACGGGCCTGCGGGCCGCAGTAGAGGCACTACAGGCTGACCTAGACACATATCGAGATAAGCAGCTCGGCAGGGATTCAGAGCCACCATTTATATCCGATTCGCGCTATACCGCATCAGCCTCTGTCTCGCAGCTCGCTGTCCACATACTGTTTAGCTCGCCCTGCTTGCCCAGGCGCTGAATCCCAAAAGCAGTCAGTTATGTCGTATCACCGCTGGGGCTCGATGCCGCAGGAAGGTGACTTTCCAATATGGGCTGGACAGCAGGGGCCGCGATGCGGCACAGTAACCCTCATGACTGAATTACTAAAAACGAAGCGGAGGGCAGAAGCAATTCGATTGGCGGGCGTTTCAAGTATGCAGCAACCCTGCAGCGCGCCCAACCAACAACGCCCGCAGTGGTAATGTAATGCCTCGTCCATATATGCCCAGGCACGGCACCAAAAACAACATCAACATGTAAACCATGGCTCGGGGAACCCAAGCCGCCATGACGCTGAACTCGTTGTATGCGGGGTTGAAGTCCTTGCTGAGGCCCTCGATTCCGCAGCGGGACGAGGAGGAGCCAGACCAGCCCTCCGCCGCGGTGGAATCCACGGCCCACGCGGCTATTTTGGCAACGAAAGCCGAGTACAAGATCTGGGCTGAGCATATGAGGAGCCGGTTCAGATCATGGGGCGTCGAGGAGGCGCGCGACGGCACGTTGCTGCTCGGCGAGGGCCACGGCGACATCATCCTGTCCATCCTGGTCGAGCACATGGCGCTGGAGCTCTTCTACTCGCGCCAGGTCCCTCCGGTCAGGGACCCGTCCGAGCTCTGGGTCGCCGTGCGCGAGTGGTCGTCGTCGCCCAAGCGGTGCTTCATCTGCGAGAACTTCCAGCGGATCCCCAAGATGTCGTGGCACGACGCCCTTGATCGCACGAGCACCGTGCAGGAATTGCAGAGGTCGGCCAAGGCGGGGTGCTTCACCTGCCAGAACGTGCTGGATGCGCTTGAGGCCTTCGTCCCTGAATTTACAGAGCTGGAGACGGAGAAGAAGAAGGTCACCATCCGCCAGCACCCGTCTCAGGGTAATCCGTTGGTGTTGGCCATCCGGGATAACTCGCATGATGGGTTGTGGATGGCAGAGGACGAATTTCTACTGGAAGTCATCGACGGGGATCAAGAAGCCGCCAGTGTTCCTGATTTCTTTGGGGGCCATGCCTGGGATTGGGCTTCACGGCTGCTGCAAGATTGCAACTGTCTGCCGATTGGCAAGGGCATGACCGGCATACCACCACGACGACTTGTCAGATTATTACCGGGGAGCGAACGCTTGGTTCTCGTCGAGAACCCGCCCAGAAACGTCGACTACTGTGCTCTGAGCTACTGCTGGGGTAAATCTTCCCACAATCTCCTGACTACTCTCAGCACGTTAGAAAAACACAAAAGAGGCATCAGCCGCGCTGAACTGCCAAAGGTGAGACTTGTCCTTCAATGAACTATCTCCTTGCATAGAGAGCTAATAATTCGCAGACAGTACTGCATGCCGTTATTGCGTGCGAAAAGCTCGGCCTTGAATATCTATGGGTCGATGCTCTATGCATCATCCAAGATGACGATGGAAACCGCGACTGGTCCGAGCAATGTAGTCAGATGGCCGACATATACTCCCAGGCCACCCTCGTCATCGCCGTCCACGATGCCGCAGATTGTGCCGATGGGTTCCTGGAGCGGGAAGAAGTCCCCCGCTCCTCTCAGGAATTCTTAACTCGAGATGAGTCTGGTGCAGTCACAAGGAAAGGTGTTCGGGAGAGAAGGCTGGGCCTCCACGAACTACCGAATTACCTCCAAGCCAACACGCCGCTTTCCAGCCGGGGGTGGACTCTGCAAGAGACACTCCTGGCAACTAGAATTCTTCATTTTGCGGAAAATGAAATGATCTGGGAGTGCGGAGAACGCTTCCAGTGCGGGTGCGCTCACTCTCTGAAGAAGGGTCTGCTCGTTGGCCGAGAGCTACTGCAGCCCAGAGCAGAATTCTCAACCCGAGAAAGAGAGGTCTGGCAAGGCCTCGTCGCATGCTACTCAAACCGAAAACTCACAAACGAACAAGACAAACTCCCCGCTATGACAGCCATCTCATCACACCTGGCTTCCATGTGGAAACTGCCGGCCGGAGACTTCCTGGCCGGCCTCTGGAGGGCAGATCTCATCCGCGGCCTGCTCTGGTTCCCCGCTGGCCGGGGACCTCATACGCGCCCGTCTGCGTACTGCGGCCCTACTTGGTCCTGGTTATCGATCACCAGCGGCGTTGGATACCCTCCTTTCTCATCTCGGCCGTCGTGGAAATTCTTCCCTTCCGCTGAAATCATCGACTGTCAAACATCCCCGACCACTTCCGATCCATTCGGTCGGATATCCAGTGGAAATGGTATTATAAAATCAACTCTAGTCCCCGTCGACTTGGCCTGGTCTCGCCAGAAGTATGAAGCCTCCCAAGGAAACGAGTACAACAGCCATCGAGCAGGACCCAGCCGGGTTCACACCACCCAAACGTGCATGGTTCGTGATCGTGCTCGCTCAAGGTCACCACATGCCACGACAACGTCCTACGAGGTACTGTGTGATGAATTATTAGACGACAGTATGAGCTGCGACCCAGCTAACGAGGCATGCTGGCTGAATGGAAGATGCTTGGAACACGGCACCTGCGACACAGAGGCAGCAGGTCCGCCCAGATTCTTTTGCCTACAGATCGGCACACTGGAGAATGTCCCAGACAAAGACGTCGATGGGAATCGCCAGCGTGGCCACCACCGCCAGACTTGGTGGTTAGTTCTCAAGCGCTCCGAGTCCCAACCGGATTCGTTCGAGAGGGTTGGGATTGGGTGCCAGAATACATCTGGTTATGATTGCCCACTCTTTGAGGGTAGAGACGTGGATACGGTTCGGATTATATGAGCACTCTATAAAACTTTAATGAGGAATCTCCAAATATTCTCTCCAAGGACGACTGGGTACTTTGTATATACATCAAATTGCATTTTCAAAGAGCATAGAGCCATATAAGGATAGACCTCCCGAAATGATATTAACGAGTTAACGTGTCGTTCACCCTTGAGATCTCAAATGACAATATCTATTGCGAGTGTAATATTCACCGCCTCGCCAGGTTGAACCTCTCTACCGACGGCAAAATCGTTGCAACCAAACTGGTACCTAACTGACATGGAAAAGATTAATTATCTCCATGTATTTTCTTTCACCCGTGATAAAATCCCAGACTCCCTGCCCAAAACCAAAATCCATAATGAAACTCCCCAAATGAATTGCATACTTTATGCTCAAGTGTCATCTCTCTCTCATCACCAAGCCCAGAGCACCTTGTGGTGCAGTGTCCTCGAGCCCAGTCTCTCGTACTCAAATGGAGTGATCCAAGAGTCATTCGTCGAGAGCTTGGCGAAGACGCTGGCTCCCTTCCACACCACGACCTGCTCGTCCATGTCCCTTGCACTCCTGCTGACGAGTATCCTGTCCTGCAGATCGGGTCTCCGGGCCTTCAGCTTCTCTTCCAGAACCACGGTGAAGTGGGGGATCTTGGCTCCACCGCCGATAACCATGATACTGCCCAGCAGGTCACGAAGCTTCTTTTCGTCACCCTTTGCAGCGTTCTGAATGCTTGTCAATATCGCAATATCCAGGGGCGCCAACGGCAGAACAGTGTCTCTCTCGATGGCAAGCGCATTGGCCCTGCGAGCTGCCGAGTCCAGGAATGGTGCCGGTAGCGAAGACTGTCCACCTTGTCCGGGGACCGGGGTTCCTGCTGCCCGCGACCCAGTCGGCGCAGGGCTTCCGCCGTTGGCAATGTCCTTGCCAAAGATGAAGGGGGGCGGCACCGGGGTGCTCGCTCCTTCGGGTGCGGGAGACCCAGCGTGCGATCCCATGGGGGTTCCATTGACACCGTCGCCCTTGGCGAGGAAGTTGAATTGTGACTTTTCTTTACTGGGGGTAGACACTTCGAGGTTCACCAGAGGAGGGAGCGCCGGCGCATTGGCAAGAGAAGGCTTGACAAGAGCCAGGATGGCCTCCTGGGCCATCGGTGAGGGGTCATCGGGTGTCTCGACATCATAAGCGTTGTACGAGCGCTCGACCAGCTTGCGGCGTCCCCGGAGCTTCGTACTGTTGTCAAAAATGGAGGGTTCGAATACGCCCATGGGGGCTAGGATGACTTCGTCGTATGTCTTGAATTGGTATTTGTGGGTGGGTTGGTTGGGTGCTCGAACGTGGAATTGGAAGAGTTGGACTGAGATATCAGCCTGTGACATTGTGCAATGCTTGATTTTGAGCTCCTCGGCCAGGAGAAAGTCGTACCGCCTACGAAGATTGATATCCTGGTAGGGGAAGTTGTCGTAAAGCAGCATTTTGATGAATGTGTCTGTAATATCGTAGCCACCAAATTTCAGGTTGACTCTCGACTCCTCCATACAGAGGCCGTCCTCGACACACGTAACGGAGGTCTTCTGTGCCCCGACATCCACAACGCAGGCCTGGGTGTACCCAGCACCAAAAGTTGCCGCCATGCTTTCTTGAATAAAGCAAACTCTATTGAACTCAAACCAGTTCATGCAGGAACGCAGGATTTGCTCCACATATCGCTTGTCGTACAAGTCAGGAATGACAAAAACACAGCTATACTGCTGCCATTCGCTGTTTTTCGATAGTCCAAGCTCCTGCCGTAGTGATTTGTCGAGTAGCGTCTCGAAATCGTCGTAGAGGTGCTCCTCGCTGGTATAGTCATCCTCATTCCACCAACCCTGCTGTATGGGCCACCATAGCTTGAATTTCGGGTCGGAATCATCAGGCACACGCAAAGCTTGATTCCCTATGAAGCACGACGCGAGCGAATTTGGGTCCTCGAGCGACTTCGGATCCGTCCACTCAATCTCGAGGGGATCATTGTGCGTCTGAATGACCTCGGCCTCCGTTCGGCGGTTGAAGGTCTGGACAAGCTCCTTGGAGTTGGGCAAAACCTTGCGCTTGTTCGCTCGCATCTCGACTTTGAGCTCGCTGGACTGTTTTTGGTACTTCTTGGCCCATTCCTCGCCGTACTGCTGGTCCGTCGTCTTGGCCTCGAACTGCCGTCGCGGTAGAGCCTCGTACATCTCGGATTCTGTCTGTGGGAACTTGGTCGCCAACGTCATGGGTATCGTCCTTGGAAGGGCATCGCTGGCAAATCCAATGCGCAAGTTCTGGCTGCCGGGGTGTATCACAATAATCTTGGAGGGATCAGTCCCGCCGATCGGGGTCGCAGCGGCATCCTCCTCTGGTAGGTCGGTAACGGGTAGGGGAAGCTCTCCGTTTCCAGGCTTTGACAGGGCGCGATCGCGATCACGGGCGTTCTGGACCATGCGATCTCGCGACGCATCCGTCTGTAATCTGAGGGCGAGAACCTGGTCATCGCGTTTCATATAGTCCCTGCAGTTCGGATTAGAGTATGATCCTCGTTAAGGCGAAAGGCAGCCCATACGTATAGTAGTTCTTCTGGTTGATGGGCGTTACATCCGGCCAGGTCGTCAACTTCATGCCATTGTCGGTTCTCTCGAGCCCTATAAATTGACAACACGCGTTAGCCCTGGAGCTTGACCATCGATTCGAGGGATGGAGATGGAGGGTAAAAAGGGCGAATGTACCTTCGCGGAGGAGAACCCTCTCGCTAACCTTGCCGACCATGGTGGATTGAAAATTTGGGAGTTGGACAACCACCTAAAGACCAGTTGTACGGTGGTTGAACAGGGACGATACCGCATCTCGAAATTCCACATCCTGGCCATTAAGCTACGGCAGCATCAGACACGCCGGGCTTACGATTATCCGTGCATCTACCCTACAGCTACACCCTGCTCATATCCCAGACCAAGTACCCCAGATAGACTCCGCCCTTAACCCCCAATAAGAATCTGGAGTTTTGTCAGAAACGGTATCTCGTGATGTACGTCGACTTACACGCAGTTCATGTGTCTATGGTATTTTTCTTTTCTTTCTAGTGATTCATTCGCGTGCTTGGAAACTGAGGGATCACGCTAAGGCTATGGCGACCAAAGTACCATTAATGTTGCTCATTACCTGCCTAGCAATTGGGTAATGTGACATGTAGGAAAAGCAAACCCGCCCGCCTGAGAGGTGGCGTAGCTCCCACTCATATCACACATGGTTCGCCTCATTTCACCTTCTTAGGCATCCCAAGGGATAGAGAATACGGTTACCCAGTGGCGATCTGCCAATACAAACCGAGCAGGGGTCGCGAGATATACCGCGAGACATGCTTGATATCTCAGAGACCTAACTAGCTAGGCAAACAGGCTAGGCCAACTGGCATCTTTCGATCATTATCCCTCACTCCTATGTGATTTTCTCCCTGAGTATGGAGCTAAACTCAACACTGCCATCTACAGCAGGAATTACAATGTTCAGTCTGGAGAGGCAAGGAGGCTCGTGGGTGCCAGTGGCCGTTGTTGGTGTCCTGGGCTATCTTACACTCTGCCGGGCCCTTCGATTTCGGCATATCAAGGCCCTGCAATCACAGCTTAACTATCCTGACCGAGCATCTTTGTCCCGGATGACGGTACACGATGCTCAGAAGATAATCAACTTCCTTTACTACCAGGAGTTCCCACTCTTCTATGACTTGTCCTTGCGTTTAGCGTTGTTTAAGGTCGATTACCCGGTGTCAGTGTCCTCACCATGGCTTGAGTTAACTGTTTGTTAGACATATTCTATCACGAATGTCGCCCGAGTCCTGGCTCTAAGCAGTGACCTGTCAAGGTTGGATGTGGCTGGTAAACGGTAATAGACCTGGATGGAGATGTTGAAGTGAGCACATAAGCTGACCCTAGTGCAAATAGATATGAGGATACCTCCATCCTATATACATGGTAAGACTCCTTTTGGACAAGAGTGAGCCGCCGACAATTGACACCGCTAGCTTTGCGAGATACCAGCCTGACACGGATGCGTTTCTGAAGGCAGTTGCTAGAATGAACTACCTGCACGCACCCTATGTTAAAGCTGGGAAGATTTTGAACAAGGACTTGTTGTATGTTTTGTTCGCATCTATGGGCGAGCCGGTGCAGTTTCTTCGGATGTTTGAGTGGAGGCCACTTACAGACATGGAGGTCGCAGGCCTGGGCACACTCTGGAAACACGTAGGCGATCTCATGGGTATTGACTTCAAGGCTGAGCTCGGCAAGGACCAGTGGACCGATGGCATTGACTTCATGGATGACGTCCGCGTATGGGCCAAAGCTTACGAAGATGAACTCATGCAACCGAACGATCATGTTGAGCAGGTCGGGAACGTCACTATGGATCTGCTCCTGGTATCACATCCCAAGTTCGCACGTCCTCTGGCATATCAGGGCGTACTGGTTATTCTGGGAGACAGGTTGCGTCATGCATTTCGGTAAGTTGTCCAGCTCACACCGTCCTCTTACTGACGATGGTTAACACTCCCTAGGTTCCCAGAGCCAGGTCTCGGCATAACCTGCCTGACCTATACCTTGCTCCTGTCGCGTGCGTTTACGCTCCGACACCTCTGTCTTCCCAGGTTCTTCACCTCGGAGGCACTCTCAGACCCTGATCCCAAGACAGGGCGCATTCACCACTATCGTTACATGAGAGAGCCATGGTACAACCCCCCTACCTTCTGGACTCGGTGGAACCCGGAGGCTTTGATTACCTGGGTGACGGGAGGACTGATCCCCTCGAAGAGCACGGAGTGGAAGCCAGAAGGATTCCTGTACGAAGACATTGGCCCTCGGAGCAAGATGGGTAAGGGGATCGACGAGCTGTCCAAGACGGCGGCAGATCTCGCGACCAAGTCGCACATCTCGACACGCCCTTTCCTCGGACCGGCCGTGTCCTAATCCGCCTCCCCGCAACAAGTATTGGAATTGTTTGTTTTTCTCACTTTTGATTACAATATCCGCACCTTCTCCAAGTCCGTCGAGGAGGTTGGCTCGCTTAACAGGGGCATTCTGCCGGCCTCATGCAAGGTGGTGGTCGAGAAGAAAAAACCACGTCAACCTGCGTTGGCCACAATTACCCAGGCATCCCCATGTGCGGCTAGTAGATCGGGATGTGTGTGCAGTTTTGTAATGAGGCCGGCCGTAAGCTTTCCGTCGCCAAGGTCGTTTGCGGAATAACGAAATTCTAGGTAGACACTTGTTGCTGTTGAACTTTGGCGGGTGATCACCTGACGCGGAAGGAATGACGTCGTTGGAGGCCACATGCCAATCATTGATACTAGTACTTGGGGTTTGTAGGTAGCTGCTGCCTGTGCGTGGCTAATTGGAAACAAAGCTCTCTCTCTCTCTCTCATGATTCACTGCCCGGCTCACCTATAACAATTGAAACAGCTCGGCATCCCCAGATTCGACCCCTTCCAAAGCCCCTTGCTCATATCATCTGAGGGCGACCGGAGCGCCCACTAGGCGATCCTCCTGCGACACCCTGACCCCCAAGACCGTCGTTTTGGCAACCACCACCACCTGGCAGCAGCAGCCACCACCACGACCACCGTAAGAAAAGATGGCCCCGATACCAGTCTACAGCTCCAGCCCCATCAATGCGGCAGCAAAGGCCTCGGGGGTAACGCCGCGGACAGCTGGCGGCGACCACCACTCCGCAGAGGCTCCAGAAACCACCACGTCAGCACCCAGGCCGCAAGGGTATCCTGTCGCGCAGCCGGGCGCGCAGCCAACCTTGCCCGCCGCCGCCGTCCAGACAGGAGGAGCAGCACCACCGCAAACCTCTGCCGGCCTCGAGCCCACGCCAACTCATCAACTGGTTCGCGATGGGAGCCCTCCGGCTCCACAGCCAGGCGCTGTGCCTGTAGCCCCCGGGACGAGAAGCAAGATCCCCCCGCCCCCGAGGGCGGGCGAGTCTTTGCAGCAGCAGCATCCTCCTGTCGCTACCGCCGTGCCATCGCAGACGACGCTGCCCCCCCAGATGTCGTACCCTGCTCCCAATCCAACATACCCGCCCCGAGCAGGATCGTCTACGATAACCGCACAGGTGGCGAGATCGGCATCAGGACCTGTGCCCACTCCTCTGGGTGAGCTCGGGCCTGGGGGGGACGGCGGCGATGACGGTGACAGGTTCTCCCACCCGCCCGGCTACCACCAGAACGCGCTCGGCCCAGGTTTGAGCAGCCGCCAGGAAGATCAGGGCATCTACTACACGTCGCAGCAGCAGCAGCGCTTTGACGACGACCAGGATGAGGAAGGGCTATGGGGAGCTGCGAGGAAGTGGGCAACAGCTGCCGGTAACAGCCTAGCACAGGCGGAAAACGAAGTTTGGAAAAGGATCAATAAGGGTTAGGGAGGACAGGAAAGCATTGGTTAGGTAGGGTGTAGGGCCAGGGCACATCAGGGCAGGGGTGGGTTGGTTGGGTGTGCGTTACCCAGGTATGTAACTACGTAGTAGGTAATGAATTATACAAAAATTCAGCCGGCCGGCTGAAGGCAGCACAACTTCAAGTCGGATAGGTAGTCCTGCCAATACGAGGGGGGTAAAAATCTCAAACAGGTCAAGGGACAAGGATCATCAGGTTTTTTTGCTCGAAGAAAACCCCGCCCTCTCTGTGTGTGGAGGAGGATAGCCCGGGAACTGTAGGGTGAGACACAAATGCGACAGACGCATGTGTTTGAGAATCTATTAATTGATTCTTTTCTCGTTCTTGTCACTGGACTACGTTTTGCCTTTCTCACCCATGGTTCTATTTCGGCACCAGCGGCGTATACTGCGCTCTGAATGGGCAGCGTGTTTAATTATTGCGAGTGTCAGACGCTGTCCAATAATGGGGTCCTGTCGCATTTTCCAGCGACATGTCAAACATGATCAATTTCCATAAGTTCGCTGATCCGAGAGGGGAGAGAAGAAAAATAAGGTCGATTCTGCAAGTCTGACGAGCCCCCAAGAACCGATCCACAGCGATGAACGCGAGCCCTTGTTCCTATAATTATGTATCATTATGTACTTACTATTTGCAACGAGGGGGGACATGCGGGTTGGGTGGGTGGTAATAGGTCGTGGCCATGCAGGCAGATGGAGCGGAGAGATTGGGATCTCGACTCTTTGCAAAAGGTTGCGCCTCCCGGTGCACTTTATTGCTTTGGCGCATTGATCGAGGCAAATCACCAACCCAGCTGGCAAACTGGCGGTGCGTGAGTGTGACCACTTGCTTCGACCTGAACAACCCACCCCCTCCCTCCCTCCCCTGTGATCTTCGGGGAAAGCAAGTGATGAGAGGGAGGGATAAGGTAGGTAATCCGGCAAGGCGCGAGATACGTACATTGGACGACGACGATTGAGTGCACCGCGCAGGCAGGGTGGTGTCCCGATCCTCGGGCGCGGGAAGCGGATATCGCAGTCCAGGGGGGGGAACGGACGTGGAACAAAAGATCGAAAGATCATAGAACTCTGTGGTATTAGTGAGGAGAGGGGCAAAAGAGACAGCGAATCGAGTGGGGAGGGGAGGGGGTGACTGAAATTTGGCAGAGCGGAAATGGCCGATGGATTCGCGGCTGGAGCGATACACTTGCATCTGGTTTCTGCAGGTAATTCGCAGGTCATCCGGCGGTAATCTCTGATAGCCGGCTGGCCGCCCAAATTTTGAAGCGACTTCCAGAAAAGGGCCAATCACTCAATCGGGACTTTCTGGTCCTTGCTTT